TGGCACCCTGGCTGGAGCTCGCACCAGTCAGCTGTGTCCCCGGCAGGCCCAAGCCTAGAGGCACCCGGACATAGAGGGGCCGGATGGGTGGGATCCTAAAGATGATTAGTCTAACAGCCACATTTTACAGATAAGAAAACTGAGGCCAGAGTGTGCAGGTGACCACCCCAAGACCTTTTTTTTCAGGGACCCAGTGTCCCACTTTCTTTCCACCGCTGCACTGCCTTGTTCATTTGACAGTATTTTGTGTGTAACATGAGAGAGGACCCCACAATAAAGCAAAAACAGTCTTGTAAGATCTAGGCTGAGGCCTGGACCATTTAAAATCTTTTTGGTGGTGATGTTGGGTTGAGATAATGCCTGAATGTAATATGTGAAGTTTGATTTTCAAGGAAACAAAAGTATTGTCCTAGTTGTGTAGACACTGGGGGGCATGTTTAAAAGGGGGCTGCGTTTACCAGAGGGCAACCTATTTGCATTTGAAAAGTTCTAACTGTTGGATCCTTATTAATTCTGCTCTATTCCACCCAGCAGTATGGGAAAATAATTTAAATATTTGGCATTTTTCTGGTAAGCCCTTGAGAAGAAAAAGGTTGGAATTCATTCAACATAGCAGTGCATTAGCTTACAAAATATAGGAATGAAAAACCGGGAGATTTGGCAAAATTAATTCCTCTAGAGATCAGTATGAGTTTGTGTTCCTAGTCACCTGTTGACGGATGCGCTACAATTTAGTGATTTTTGCTCTTCAAAGGTTTTCAATGGAGACTCTGAAGTAGGATTTGTTACTTTATTGCTAAAGGAAGCAACTGCCTCCATTCTATAATCATGTGGTGTTCAGGCACAGTTTTGCTAAATTTGGGGGAAGAAATTATCAGGATGTAAGATTTGGTGTTTTGTTTGTTTTTTTGCTTTTTTGTACCAAAGCTAGCAAGTTTGCAACCTAGAGCAGATTGTTATGGTTATAGTAAATAGCTAAGTTATATTTAAAATGTTGTGTTAAATACTTTTAAATGATGGATGTATCCTTGGGTAATATTTTTAGATACATTATAAATATAGTATTTTAGATACATGTTTAGCAGTGTAGTTGTACATTTCATGGTTAGTAAGTAAACTCATTGAGTACATGAAAATATCACCACCACCCCCAGACAATATTTTTCTATTGTTTCAGAAAAAAATTCTGTTGGGTTAGGTTCTTTAAAGCAGTCTGGGAAACAGGTAGAATATTCTAACTGCTGTTATGTAGCTGCTGTTTCTCTTTTGGTTCCTTGCACCTGTTCCTTGTCACTCTTAACCATAAGGAATGCTACTGTTAGGTACTGTTTAATGAGATGAAGATTTATCGTTTGTGGTGAGAAATATTTATTTGTGGAATTTGGGTAGAAATTATAACTGTAGACAGTTGATTAGAAATGCTAAATAATCAGTTGATCATTTTTAGGGCTTTCCTGGCCACTGCCATCATAAATCAGGATCTTTTAAGTAAACATTTGTAGGATGCTTTCGGGATTTATCCATCTGCTTGCTTATTGGAATAGCCCCTTCTCTGAAGCTATAAGAATAGCATTGAAATATGGGTGTTCTCTTGTTTTGTTCTTCTGACAGATCTGATTCTTTGAGTGGTAGATGGGCTCTTTCTGTGGGGTTCTGCCTGGGTACCAGTCATTTAATTTACAGACCAACTGAGAGGGGTCAGTCAATGCAACAGTGTTGCTTGTAGGTTAGGATTACTGTGTTGCAAGGATGGAGACACCAAATGCATTTTGATTTTCATTATGCAGCTTGGTTTCATGTTTCTCCACCAGGTTTTCCCTTAAAGCAACAGTGCATTTAAAAATAGAAACAATTCCTCCCTTGGGCTCTGGGTTTATTAATTGCGATAGTGCTTCATGTTATGTTTACAATTTATTTCTATCATTTGTTTTGGGATAGTGCTCAGGGAAAGGCAAAAATATTATCTTTTTTACCTAGAAGTCCAAGGTTTGACGTCTTAGAAGTACTTAAAGTAATATTGGCAAACCTGTATCAAATTGAGAAGTGCCATTTTCCTGAAAATTGCAAGAAATTATTAATGTATTAGTCATAAATAGAAATTTTAAGTTACTGGGTGAAAGTTTTGAATCCTACCAGTAAAACAAGTGAGAGGGCATTGATTTCCAGGAAAAGAAACAGACGGGCTTAGCTTTCATAATTTTCCCACTTTATGGAATCAAAGCCAAGACTACATGGTGAGGACAAAGATCACAGGGCTTCTGAGGTTAAAATGTTTGTTTTGGTCCTGATACTCTAAGGTTATAATATACTGCAGAGGTCCAGAGGTCCAGAGGTCCAGATTAATGGTTGATGTGTATACATACCATTGCTATTCTGAAACATTAAGACATATGAATTGGTTTCATCTTTTTTTTTTTTTTTTTTTTTTTACATTTTATTGATTTTTTACAGAGAGGAAGAGAGAGGGATAGAGAGTTAGAAACATCGATTAGCTGCCTCCTGCACACCTACTGGGGATGTGCCGCAACCAAGGTACATGCCCTTGACCACATCGAACCTGGGACCTTTCAGTCCGCAGGCCAACGCTCTATCCACTGAGCCAAACCAGTCAGGGCTGAATTGGTTTCTTCAAATGCAGTTGTATTACTATGCAGGAGACATATGACACCATACTTGGCACAGGAGATCCAAAGGTAACTATAGGCCCAGTAACTGTGGGCCTGACAGAGGGTCTCACCTTTGAGAGATGGGGGGAAACATTAAAAAAACAATGTGGTAGCTTATGTAGACTATACTTTTGCCCTTGCATGCACTGTATTATTTGCAAATCACCTATTTCCTCTTCATTCTCCTCATTGAGCCTGTGAGCTCCCTGAAGGCAACTATCTTGTCCTACTTACCTTTGTGACCCGTGCCCCTAAGCAGCACCTGGCTCAAAGCAGGTGCTCAGCAAACACCTGTGCCGCGTAGGTTCCCAGTGTGGTGGAGCACTGAGGAGGGGCTGTGGAAGCGACCCAGGGTCTGGCACCCTGCAAAGACAGGCGGCATTTATGCTGGCCATGTGGGTGCTAATAGTGTAGCAAGGACAGGAAAAAGTCCTTGTCAAATAAAGTTAAAGCATACCTTCTTCTGGGCGATTGTACACACACACACACACACACACACACACACACTTCAGTTCGGGAAGGGGGAGTAGAATGAGAACCCCTAATTTGCCAAAATGGGTTATAGTTAAAAAATCAAAGTATAAAGAGACATATGGTGAAAAGCCTTCCTTTCACCCCTGCTGTCACTCCTACTCTTCCTATCCCCTCACCTCTCAAAAATAAAGATAACCGCAGTCATTTATTTTTCATGCATATTTTCAGATACACACTTATATATTGTTGTTTTTTTTTTAATATATTTTATTGATTTTTTACAGAGAGGAAAGGAGAGAGATAGAGAGTTAGAAACATCGATGAGAGAGAAACATCAATCAGCTGCCTCCTGTACACTTCCTCCTGGAGATGTGCCCGCAACCAAGGTACATGCCCTTGACCGGAATCGAACCCGGGACCTTTCAGTCCGCAGGCCGATGCTCTATCCACTGAGCCAAAGCGGTTACGGCTTATATATTGTTTATATGTATTTTAATAAATATTATGTGTATATATGTATATATGCAGGTTTGGGCAAAGGTACGTTTACAGTTTGATTGTGAAACAGTTCATTCTTGTATTATTTATTATTGTATTATTTATCATATAACCAACTGTAAACCTACTTTTCACCCACCAAAGGTGAAAAAATTTTTTTATTAAAATTTTTTTTCAATCACCATCTGAGGATATGTTCTTTTAAAAATTGATTTGAGAGAGAGGGGAAGGGAGAGAAAGAGGAAGGGGAGAAAGAGTGAGAGAGAGAGCTCGCGCGAAAGAGAGAGAAAGAGAAACATCGATGTGAGAGAGAAACATTGATCGGCTGCTCCTGTATGCTCCCCAACTGGGAATTGAGCCTGCAACTTGGGTATGTGCCCTAACTGGGAATCAAACCCACAACCTTTGGTGTATGGGATGATGCTCCAACCAACTGAGACACAGCAGCCAGGGCCCTACCCTGTGTATTTAAATCAGTATACATAGTTGACAGTATAAAGTAGGTCTATCATTTATAAAGGCTATGATAAAAAAAAATAATTCTTTTCATTTCTTTCCCTAGAGGCAGCCACATATAGCAATTTTAGCTCATTCTTTTGGAATTTCCCTCCATATTTCTGAGTAACATGCTGGTAGTGTTAGTGTTTGATTTCTCTCTTTGTTCTCTTTCTATGTGCTGTCCCCAGCCCACCCCAAATTCTTTCTATTCCCCATTTTCCCAATATAGTAATTTTGGTTGCATCAGTATTTAGTGTGTACATTATTTATATGACCAAATAGAATACTGTTTATAGTTGAACCATGTACTCTTCTGTGGTCTCTTTTCCTATCTCTTTTCTATACAGAACTTTTTGTTTTCCCTGGAGTTAACAATTATTTCTATTTTTTCCCTTTCCTTTAATTTGCTGCTTTTTCTATGTACTTATTCTTAATTCAGCATTTACATTATCTGCCCCTTGCCTCATTTCAGGACATTCAAACATATCAGGTACTCTCTTGATTTCATCTTCTTAGAAACATTTCTCCTTGACCCTTCTTACATGCTCCTTTATGAACTGATGGCCTTCTCTGCCTGGTTTAGCCACCTTCCTGAGGTTTCTGTCACATCA